GTCTGAGTCTCCGACCATGTTTAGAAAAATAAAACTTGTACTTAACTCAATCCAAATGCTAGTCACTAGGTGAGGATTGTCTAAGACCATATAAGGAGGCAATAATCCATTCCCCCTTCCAAAGTAAGACATTGTAACATGACTACTGCTAAACTTCCTCTATGCAATAAGGTTAATATGTTAATATCGCACAACATTGAATCACTACGCAGAGAAGTGTAAGGCTTTTCTTGGAGATCAGGAGTTGCAGAATTTAAAATTCTGGTGAAAATACTTAAACCTGTTTTTTTATTGTTAAAAACTTTTACAGTTGTTATACTCCAACATATTAACCATATGGTCCTCAGCATCTTTCCCATGGAACTTTATGTAAGTTGTTGATTTTACTTAGATCCAATGGAAAGTTCTAATTGTACATATCATGTTTCCTACAGCTGGACAGGAGAGGTTCAGGACACTGACAAGCTCCTACTACAGAGGTGCTCAAGGGATCATTCTTGGTAAGTAATACTCCCTCTGTTTCAATTTATGTGGCTGCATTACTATTCAGGGAGTCAAAGAGGTTCTTCTGACCACACTTTTTTCTTATTTATATGTAAAATGTTTTGATTGTTAACTATTACACTTATAGTACTTTTTATGAAGTTTCCAAATATGTAACTTATATTTTCAAAAGTTTAATAAATCTATGCTCGAATTCACTCCGAAAATTAAGTACCTCGACTCTCGTACTTTGAACCTTTCCACATAAAGTGGAATGAAAGGAGCAAGTGAATTGGTGCATTTTATATCTTGCAAGAGAAGATACATTCATTGTTGATAATGCATCTGTGAGTTAGCTAGTGTTAGACTTTTGTTATTACATCATTCAACTTCATAGCAGTTTAACGCAATTCTGTCTTTTTCCATCATGATAGAACAATGCATAATTAAGGGTCACTTGTAATAGCAATCCGTAAATGTTAGCATCTGCTATAGCTTGTCAAGGTTGAAATATAGTGATGCAATTTTCTTTAGTGATTACACTTGATGCTTATTCATTTGCTTTTAGTGTTTCGTGGGCCTTACATTTAATGCCATATCCATACTTTTTTTTAAGCCATTCCCATTAGTCAATTTTTCACAATTTTTATTTGTCATCCATCAGCCACATTCATGTTTGTTTATGGCAGTCCCAAAGTAAAATAATTTTTCTTTATAATACTGGTGAAAGTTCAAACTATTTTTTTAGCTTCTTCTCTTAGATAATGTCAATCTAAGCGCCATCCGCTCTCGTAAATGACAATGCTACAGCATGAAACTATATCAGATCTTGGCAAGCACACTTAAGTTGAACATTTTGATTTTAAAAAAGGGCAGCCTAGTGCACTTGCTCCAAGAACTTCCCACCTTGCTCTTGGGGATACTCGAACTCACAACCTCTCTACCCCAGGGTAGGGGTAAGGTCTGCGTACACACTACCCTCCCCAGACCCCACTAAGTGGGATTATACTGGGTTGTTGTTGTTGTTGGCAGCCTAGTGCACTAAGCTCTCGTTACGCACGGAGTTCGGGAAGGGCTAGACCTATTGGGTCTATTGTTTGTAGCTTTATCTTTACATTTCTGCAAGTGCTGTTTCCACGGCTTGAATCCCTGAACTGGTGATCACATGACGTCAACTTTTACCGTTGTGCCAAAGTTCCCTGTTAATGAACAATTTGATTACACCTCCAATAAATCTGCTTCCAGTGATAAGTGTCCATGATAACACTATCTTCTGTAGTCTTTTTCCAGTTGCTGGAGTTCTATCTGCCTAGAATAGTAAGCAAGCATCCCTATCTATTGTTTCCATGAGAACACTATATAACTTCCTTGTGATGGAAATTTTTGCTGATTATTGCCTCAGTCCCTTCTGACTGGCCCTCAGAGAGCAACAAACTGCAAATATTTGACAGCTCTCCAATCTCCATTAATTGAATACAATCTGTAGGTTGACTGGTAGCGAATGTTCAAATTCAAAAAGGCATCCATGTAGTGTTCAGATACTTGGCAAGAAAGTAGTATTCCTATTTCTTTATAAAAAAGCATTTGTTTGTGCTTTCTTTGTTGACATTTTGCTACAGTACTTGTAGATGCTTTGTGTTCTCCAAATTCTTATATGCATTTCTAACTATTATGTTTACAATTGCTTTTTTAAATTTTGTTTACAGTCTATGATGTAACAAGAAGAGAGACCTTCACAAACTTGTCTGATGTGTGGGCAAAAGAGGTGGAGTTGTACAGTAATAATCAGGATTGTGTGAAGATGCTGGTTGGAAATAAAGTTGACAAAGTATGTTCTTTGCAAAAGTAAACGTGCTTGTGTGTGTCTCTCTCTTTCTCTCCTAACATTTTTTTGATAAGTGTTCTCTTCATTTTTGCTTCTTGAATGTTTGGAGACATTATTTCAAGGAGAAACCAAGTAAACTAAGATGTTGATATCACCTCTTCAAATGCAGTATACTTTATCTTGTTGTGGAATCTGGGATCTAGGAACTTGCATAATTCTTATAATAAGAATTCATGAAAACTATGATTAGGGGATTCTTTCTGCCCTTGCAAATAGTGTTATTGCAGCTGCCGGAATTTAATATGTTAGAGCAAATAATGGAAAATAATGAAGCTATATGTGACATAAATATAAAGGGGTTCAAAATAGAAAAAAGATTACGCGTCCTAAATATAAGAGGGAACAATGTCAAGAAGGATACTCATAAATCATAATGAGTCAGGTGCAAAGTGAATGTACTGGGGCACAATGAGTTCCAGAGTTAGAGGGTGACTTTGGATAACTGTTTGAGAATATATGCTTCAGGGAATGTATTATCCATCTTACTTTGTTGTATTCTGTTGCTTATCATCCACATTTCCTTTACCAGTTGCATCTTTTGCTTTATGTAGGAGTATCTGTTATCATTTATCTTTGTTTATCTTCGTCAAAGTGTTTATCTTTAGCATGTACGTTAAAGTTGCAGTCCATTCTTTGATGTTTGAATAAATTCTACATAATGTTTGTAAACCAACTTTTATTCTCACTTTGCTATTGGGTTATCAGGAATCTGAGAGAGCTGTGACCAGGGAAGAAGGCATTGCCCTAGCAAAGGAGCTTGGAAGTCTATTTCTTGAATGTAGTGCTAAAACTCGAGAAAATGTTCAACACTGCTTTGAAGAGCTTGCCTTAAAGGTAAATTATACATTCATGAGTTCTCTGTAGGTTTCACAAGGCATGTTTTCAAAGTTAGCATCTTATGCAAAGTAACATGGTCCGCTGATCTTTTCATTGGTAAAAAGGGAAAAGAAAAAGTAGCCAATCATGTTACTTTGCATATGATGCTGATTGTTAATATAACATTATTTTATAGATGCATCTAGTTGACCATTTTAGATAAAAAATTCTCATAACATATTATCCTGATGATGGTATCTGGCAGCAGTTTTTACTTTCATCTTTGACGGTGTTAAAGATTTCCCAAGCACATCTACTTTATGCTGTACGGGAAATCTCTCTTGCTTCCAATCGTGATTTACATTTATATTTCCCCTTGTTTGACGCATAAGGGACAATGTATTGCCTTTATAATATCAGTCAGTAGATAAGTGCAATTCCGAAGGTACATCATCCTTTAGGTACTGAGAGTATTACTATTCGACTCTCAAGATCAAGAAACATTACAGCCAAATGTTTTTTACCTGGTTGACTCATACTCCGTGACTTTCAAGATTGAGAAACATTGCAGTCCAGCAGTTCTGGTCTGGTTGGTTTAAAACAGATTCTTTTGCTCAGCTCGCATCTCATAGGGATAAACTTTTCGATTGATTTTCTAACTAGACTCCTGTATTCAGATAATGGAGGTACCTAGTCTATTGGAAGAAGGATCCACTGTAGGCAAGAGAAATATCTTGAAACAGAAACAAGAACAGAACACACAACAGGGTGGTGGTTGTTGCTCATGAAACTCTTCAAACTAGGACCAACAAATTGACAGACATCAAAACTGTGCACTAGATGGACCTGAAAAGTCGCAGTTAATCAAATATGTATATGATGTTTTCTTTTATCCTTGCTGTTGTTATCCTGCTGCTTTGAAATTGGTTTAGAAGTCTCATGTAAAGTAATTGGTTCGTTTCGTTATTCGCCAATGTTCTTGTTAATATTTGCCAGATTGCTGTCAAATTGGGCGTGTTTCATAATTTTATGTGCATTTCATCACTATCTTTGAGAATCAGCATCATATTGCACTATCCACTCTATGTTTTTCCTTTCCTTTGTACATCTCCTTCGATACAAGGCAATATCAGAATATTTAAAAGATACTTTAGATTTGCAAACCAAGATCTTCTCAGGGTCTAACTTATAAACACTTGCGGAAATATAAATCCCAATTATTTATAGAATTGTAAAGGAAAAGGAAAGCTGCTCTAAGAGAAATAGCCATAACACATTTCAGTTTTCTATACAGTTTAGAGATGCTTATGGGATTATCAAATTCCCTCAAGGGAATGGTAACACATTTAAGACTGAAGTGCTGATGCTCCTGAATGGTTAGACATTCAGAACTCTGGATACACATTTTCCAGTCTTTAGAATCACATCCACTATAGTATCAAGAAACTAAATTGTTTCAGGTTTACCAATTTAATTGAAGACTGCAAGCATGCAGTTAATTGTCCCAAAAAAATTAAAGAAATAATGAACGAAAAGTGTGAGAAAACCAGTAAACGGTCTTTTTGATGGAGCATCCCCTTAGTTTCGGAGAGAATAATGGTGTGTCGTTACAGAAAATAAAAATGTAAGAGTTAAGAAGCTAAGTTCTAATTATATACCAAATATAAATGGAGAGGAGTTGGCGATGTGAGCTTCTAAGTGAGAAGAGTCCAATGAAATTTTGATTTCCAGAAAATTGAATGCCATTGTAGATGTACTGATACTCAAAATTCTAACTTTAAAAANCCAGACCTCCCTACACAGACTGCTCAACTCAGATCAGAAATGTACCTCCTATTAGTATAACATTATAATTGATAAATCACTGACAACCACTTCAAAACCTGAATATTTCTCAAACTGCAATCTTATTATAAGGAGTATTGCAACTTTCAGGAGAACTTCTGTCACCTATTGCTACATAATTTCCAAGCTTCTAAGTTCCGACAAAATCTGGTACTTATAAAACAGGGTAAACATATTGGTGAAAGCCAAGGGCCCCAATTTTCTGTACGAAGGCCTAACGGCCAAGTTCAGCATCTATAGCTTCTTGTAAGATTCTGCAAACTTCACTTTCAGGCTCAACAAGCTCAGAAGGCATCTGCAATAATCACATGTCAAACAAGCCATATTGAATTAATCAGACATAAAAAAGAATCATTTAATTGATAATTTCAATTTATATAATTGCCGTGTCAGCTGCTAACCCTTCCATATAAATTTCTCGTCATAGCAGAAGCACCAGAAGCTAACAATAATTTGATAACATCTACATGTTCACCTCTGGCAGCATGATGGAGAGGCTACCAAAATTAAACGAAACGAAACGAATCAGTACAAGGTGCTTTAAGAAATATAATTGAAGAGCTATTTAAATGATTCAATTTCCAAGATTTAGGTCACTAAAAATTCAAATTTTGCATAATGAAATTTCAGTAGAGATGCCTCACCGCATCACCTTCTTCATCAAAGGACTCCATCATCCTCTTCACACATTCAGGGTCAGGGGCACTGTTTATTAGCAGACGGACTATTTCCGTGTATCCTGTTAAAAAGTCAAGCACTCAGAAAGTAAGCAATGCGAGCCTATGTTTTCCTTTTTACTGAACCAACACCATACCCTTAGCCCTCTTACTTCCTAGAAAGGCTTGGGTTAAGGTAGTTCGTTTACTTGCTGCCTGATAAATTAGGTCACACCTTAAGATTAGCTGACTGCTTAATTTACTAGTTTATTAATCATACAATTCAAGTGTACCATCTCTTCAAGGTAAAAAGATTAATATAGTTCACAGATATGACAGTTTAGGGATTAGAACTTGCAACCATATGTATACCTCCAGCACAAGCATCATGCAACGGAAGTGCTCCATCTTCATCCTTTGCCTCCACAGAAGCTCCCCTCTCTAACAGTAGCTGGGCAGAAATACAAAATTATATTAGGTTTAGTCCAAAACATGATAATGAAATCAAGACCAGCAGATCCATCAAAATGAGACAACATCTGCCACAGGGACGATTGAGCATGGCCGAATGGACCAACCTCCACACAAGCCAGATGGCCATACAGACAAGTTAGATGAAGAGCAGTGTCCCCATCTTCAAGAGGTTCATCAATGTTTCCGTTAAAATTATCTGCAGCAATCCATCAAATATATATAATACGTGAGTATGACACAGACATGGATAACAAGGTACATAGAACAACCTATATTTTGATAGGTAAGATAATGCAGCGCAACTTAGTTACTTCTCTCAAAAGATAGGGGTGACTAGAAATCCACCACACATAATAAGCAGCATTATGATCAAATTGCAGCTCGGTAAAACATTATTTTAGACTCCACAAAAATCAATTATTATTAGATTGAGCAAGAGATGAAATAAGAATGATGTTCCAAACAACCCCCCTCCCCCATCTTCTTTGATAAAGAGAATGATGTTTTAACCCTTCATGCATAAAAGTAGCGACAAATTTGCACCTCAGGGTGCGGGTTTAATGGTTAACGAAGTGGGTGGAGAACCATAATGTTTCAGGTTCAATCCCAGTGGAGACAAAAAACCACTAGGTGATTTCTTCCCATTTGCTTAAGACTTGGTTCACAGAGTTACCCGGTACCTATGCTGGTGGAAGGTAGCAGAGACCGGATAGAATAATTTAAGGTGTGGACAAGTAGGCTCGGACCCAACTCAAACTAAAAAGTAGGCACAAGTTGCAACATGTGCATCACGATTCAAAAGTGCAATTTACCAAATTTTTTAGGTAAGCCACTAGGACCTCTGCTAGTACCAGTGCGTGTAACCTAACACACAAGAAAATGAAAAAAAATAGATGATAGTTTGAGATAATTCTTGGCCTTGTGGAGGGTGCTGATGGATCATCATTATGGTCGGAGGCAGTGTCACTTCTCTCCTAAGTGGGTGGATTGTTTTGGTCAACATGCAATCAAGAAGTACAAGAGAGGTATGACTGGGTGAATTTGTATCTCCCTCCCTCCACCGCCCCTACTTTGTTGTGTGGGCACGCACTTAGCTGTATTCAAGCTTTAATTAATCTATTATTTCTCACATCAGAGTAGGGTATTGTAATCCGATCTAGTTGAATGAATTTGACAACTAGGTGAATCTCCATTCCTTCCACTTTTGCGTTCTTAAATAGGCATTGACTTTGTCATATTTCAGCTTAAATCATCTCTAATCCTTCCATAATTCCATTACCCTTGGCATGGATAGCAGGGTTCACTAAACCAACCTTGTCAGAGGGATCTCAGAGACTCAGACAACATGGTGACAGGTGAATCTCTTCGAGACCAACCTCTACGACACAGCCAATATTCATACTTGTTTCTATGACAGTAACTTTATTTTTTTCGCTGAAACAATAGGAGCTTTCAATTCTGAGCTCTACGTCATAACAATTAGGAATGAAATTCCATGAGGATTTTAAAGGCATCCTGCATTTGTCCTTACAAATTCCAAGGAACAACCTCACAAACACATGCTCTATCATTACCCATCTATCAACCTGGTGTCTGTGCCTCTGTTGTTCAATTGTGTAAGACATAGCAACAAGTAACAAGGGATACAATGGCCATTGCTGGACATGCTTGGAAATCATGCGAAGCAATCATCAGTACCATGAGACTGAAATCTCACATTTCGTAGTAGGTGTTGAATTCTCTTCCATTTCTTTCATTTATAGCTCTTGTTATCCTCAATCTGAAAGTTCAATATTTTATTACTCTCACCTCACACCCCGTATCAATGATAGTTCCCCACTAACCCTAGGGAGACTCAAACTCCTGACTTACTGGTTGGAAGTGGAGTCGTCTTGCTAATTGAGCCAACCTTTGCTCTTTTTTTTAGAAAGAAACTGAGCCAACTCAATGTTTCTTTTGGAAATTCACTCATACTACCTTCATTGGGATCAAGAACAACCAATTTTACCTCAAATGGCTCCAAAAGTAGAAAAAGGTATAATCTTTTTGTTTTGTTAATGAAAGGTAAAGGAAAAGACATGGACTTGATATCATTATTTTGAAAATTCAACTAACAAATCCATGTCTTTCTCGTTCCACTAGCTAATACCAAATTATCACATGCCCATTTCATTGTTACAACATTCTCTTTCTTTATGTGTAAAACCAGGAAGCTATGCACACATTCTTATTGATCACCAGTTGTTCTTAACAACAACCTCTATTCATCTAAATCTTCGAGTAACACTACTAGATCTTCAGCAATTCAATCAATAAAAGTGCCCCCACCCCCCACACACACACCCCACCACCACCAGAGGAGAAGACAAATGGTCATAAGGAATTGATCACCCTTTGTCGAAAAATAAAATTACATTGTGTATATAGGTAAAAATATTATATTTTAGAGTTATATAACACATATTGAACACCTTTTGTCGGAAATTTTTCACTTCTTTCAAATTTGAACAACCTTGGGAAAATTACTAGCTTCGCCGCTGCCCACCACACGCACACACACCCCAAAAAAAAATTGTTCTTCCATAAAATGAAATGCAGCAGTTCATCCTTAAAGTACGCCCTTTACAACAGCAACTTAAAATAGGAGTGTATCTGGACTAGAATACGGGCCTTTTGTTCTATTTTATTTTAATTAGGATTCCTTTTTTTTTTTTAATATAAGAACAAAAATTTATTAAACACATTGGGACCAAGAGAACAGAGAAAAAAAGAAAAAATTACATAGATAAAAGGGGGAATTGAATTTGACCTACCTAGGGCAAGGCGAAAGGCGTTGATTTCGCCGCGTTCGGCGGCGTTGAAAAGGTCACGGAGGTGAAGAGGGATGTGAGAGTCGGAAGGGTCTTCCTCCAACTCCAATTCCTCCTCTTCGAACAAACCACCTTCGTCTTCCTCTTCCCCCATCATTCCGTTACGTCCCCTTTGTACTGCCATTTTCTCTCTTCTCCTCTTTGTGTTTTTCGCTCTCTGATTTTGTGGACTCCAAAACCCTGCCACTTTACTACAAGAGTCGGTTGGAGTGTCAAAATGAAAGTAATGTAGCAATGATATAACTCTCACACGTGTTGATAAGAGATAATTAATCTCGAAACTAAATTTAAGATGCGGTTATTTCATATTTGATTGAGATAAAATTATGGTATAACTAATTTTAAAATCAGTTATCTTGGGATTGTAGTAACTTTTATATCATTATGGGAGAGTGAGATAATAATCATAGAGAATTAATTTTGAAATAATTAATTCTGAGATAACTTGTTTACCAACCAACCCCTGAATTTACCCTTAGGTCGAAGGGACAAATTTTTCATGTGTATGCACGCAAACGTTAAATTTAGTAAATTGATGAAATTGAACTTAACTTTGAAATTAAGGAAAGCCAACTCATGAATCATACACTGATAAAAAGAATATACTAACATAAAAGTTGGACACAAATATTATGTCAAGGTTTCATTAGCTCGTCAGTTTTTTTTTTTTTTTTTTTTTTTTTTTTTTTGGCAGTTTCTTTAAAAAATAAAATCAGAAAACTCGATTAAGGTATTCAAGGCATTTGTGGTTGCATAACACACTAAGGGGAAAAGATAGAAAAAGAACTAATAATTAATGAAAATGATTAACATATAAAAGAATATTACAACAACGAGAAAACAGTTAAAAAAGCTCCAGCAAACCAACCTACTAAACAATTTAAAGTCGCGACAAGTAAGATTTCAAAGGGCGAAGACAGAATAATATGGATCTTAGTAGAGTCTTTAGTGTCACACAGATGCGGATTCAAAATTTAATGGTTACGGGTGTCATTATCTTTGATGTAAACTTACCTCTAGCCAAGGAGGTCGAATTAGAGTGTACATTTGGCTAGAATTTTGAATTAACTCGGTTCGATTCGATTCATTTTTTAATTAATTCGATTCATTTAATAAGATTTTTTGGTGCATAAATACACAAATGATAACCAAACTAAAAATGTTCGGTCCTTCAAGGAAAAATTAAAATTAATTAGATCAAAAGAAAAATGATTAAAAGCATATTAAATTTTAAAAATTGAGATATAGAAAAGGAACATAAAAATAAATATACTTTTATAATCTAAATAACTAATTAAAATGGAACTGTATAAAGAGAAATTACAAAGATGAAAATAAGAAATTAAGAGAAAAAGATGAAAAGAAAAATCTGAAAACGAGGGAACAACAACAACAACAACAACGACCTAGTATAATCCCACAAGTGGGGTCTGGGGAGGGTAATA